CCGTGCTGGTCAGGTTTGAAGTGGTTGAGGTCGTAGGGGTCCTTGTCGACGTCTAGTCAGTATGACTTCCACGGCCGGAGACATGCCGTGCTTTGGTGGACTCTTGACCTGGTGGAGTGCCGAGGCCTGGTGGGTTGTAGCTAACCGCGCCGAGGCCTGATTTGCCGAGGCCCTGGAGGGTGTTTGTAGCTGACCGCGCCGAGGCCTGAGTTGCTGAGGCCCTGGAGGGAGCAGTTGGGCCTATGCACTGATTCCGAGGCTATAGTGACATGGTTTAGGTGGAAAAGTGCAGGGCATGGTAAAAAAAAGATTTGACCGTTGTCCCATCGCTCCTGTTGCTGTTTGCATTCTCGCCGGCCGTGGGTCGACGAAGGTGCATTCAGGCGCATTAAATGGATGGGACAACCTGCCAGGGGGATGGTTGAGGCGGAGGCGACGAGGATGCGGGACGAGCCCGGCCTCGGCCGAGGTGGAGAAAGAACAGTACATCCGAGGCCCTGCCGGGGGGTCTCGGACGAGGTGGAGAACGAGCAGCTGGGCTCTTCTGCTGTTGCTGAGACTACAGGGACCTAGACTTGACCTTCCACGCCGCTTTATCCTTGGCGCAGAGGTTAGGTAGCACAAGACAGTACGGGTGTTAGTAGGGAGCATGTTGATGAGCACACGGTGGTAGGTACCCCCCGCCGCGCCGGTCCCCCGTCCCGCCGCTTGTCGCTCTCCGCTCAAGACTGTACCCGTGCAAAGGGCCGACGCTTATGGAGAAGTTAGGCGATTAATCCGGACGTGACGTTTTGTCGGAGGAGTTCACGGGACGGAGGTAACGAGGTTGTTTGCCGAGCCCACCGAGCGAATCGGAGATTGGCATCCCGTCCGAGGCCTTTCGGGGGGGGCCTCGGCGGGCGGGAGCTTTTGGCCTTTTTCGCATGAGGCTTTTCAGCGCAAGGCCTCTAAGGTAATCGGAGAATCTTTGAGACCTTATGGTAGTCTTTCGCTTTGATTTTTGCAAGGTTTAAGCAATATTTTTGGTTCTTGCTTAGGGTACCCTTCTTGCATGTATCCGACACTTGTCTAAAAGGGTAGTTGATAATGCTATCTGTGGCATTTAAATTCTAACAAAAATGTTAAATACTCACATCATGTTTTTGCACTATTGGTTGTTTCTAAGTGAGGTCGTGAGCGTGTTGTAGATTGAGGTGGTGTGTGAGGTCACGATGCACTCTCTAAAATTTCCCAAACCTCCATAGAATACGCTGTGAAACAGGTTTTGGAACCTACTCCATGATTTGGCACCCAAGTGACGAACTCAAGTTGGCATTTCCTTATCTCCCTCTCCGTTGCTCTCGGTCATGAGGTTTACTTCGCTAGTTAGCTGTTAGTGCCGACTTTAGGTTGATGGCTTCGGTTGAACCTCAATTGAAATGCTAAGTAGCTTTTGCTTCGTTTTAAGAAGCGTGCGTAGCACCATTTCTAGCTGTTCGGGCTCAGGGTGTGGTCACCGCGTGTGCGCTACTACCCTAGTTGGCGCTATGGCCATAGCCGCCGCCCACCGGTCGGTCCCCCCTGGTCGCTGTCGTCGGCCTGCGTCGGGCTGAGTTGGCCACACGCCGCTCCATGCCGTCGGTCATGGTTGCAGGAGCCCACGCGCGCGTTGTCCGCCATATCACGTGGGGTCGAGCCCGATGTCGAAGTCGCATCGCTTGGCGGCGTGTGGCGCTTGCCCTCGCCGCGTCCGCTTCCACCTACCACACATAGTCCTAGCGAGTGCGCCAAGTCGTCGCGATTGTGTCGTTGGCCCCGGACGCTGTTACGACGGGACGACTCCCTGCTCTCTGCCTTGCGTGTCTCTACTGCTTTGCTTGTTTCTGTCGAGCCTCGTGCTGTTTCCCTCTCTCTCGATTTCTCTGCTGCCGAGGAGGAGACGCCCAAGCTCCAGGGCACCGAAGGGCGAGGAGTCCCCGGCATCGCTGGCGATGTCAGAGCACCGAGGAGCGAGGAGTCCCCGACGTATCTGGTGATTTCTGAGCACTGAGGAGCGAGGAGTCCCCGGCGATGTCCGAGCACCGAGGAGCGAGGAGTCCCCGGCGTCGCTGGCGATGTCCGAGCACCGAGGAGCGAGGAGTCCCTGCCAGGTCATTGGCGATGTCCGAGCACCGAGGGGCGAGGAGTTTCGCGTCGCCGGGCGATGTCCCGAAAGCACCGAGGAGCGAGGAGTCCCCTTTGTAGCTAGCGATGTCCGAGCACCGAGGAACGAGGAGTCCCCGGCGTCGCCGGGCGATGTCCGAGCACCGAGGAGCGAGGGAGTCCTTGGCGATCTAGCGATTTCCGAGAACCGAGGGGCGAGGAGTCCTGTGCGTCGCTGGCGGCGTCCGAGCACCGAGGAGCGAGGAGTCCCCGGCGTCGCTGGCGATGTCTCGAGCACCGAGGAGCGAGGAGTCCCCGATGTCGCTGGCGATGTCCGAGCACCAAAGAGTGAGGAGTGCCTGGCGTAGCTGGCGATATCCGAGTACCAAAGAGTGAGGAGTCCCCGGCGTTGCTGGCGATGTCCGAGCACTGAGGAGTCCCCGGCGTAGCTGGCGACGTCCATGCGGTGAAGTGTGCCCACTTAGTCCTTGAGCATGAAGAATCCAAGCACCGAGGAGTCCCCAGCGTAGCTGGCAATGAAGCACGAGCGACGAATTATCTGGTCAACTGGTTGGCGGTGAAGTGAGCATTGAGTAGAAGCGACCGGCCCAGTTGATCGATGGACAAGTCCGAGCACCAGGTGATCCGATCACCTGGACGATGATCCTACAATATAAATATGTAGAACGGGTAGTACATGATGTAAAAATATATGAACTCCGAAGAAAAATCAGCAATGGCGATGAAATAGCGTATGCAGCTCGGCGATCAGTTGGTGTGAAGATGTATTTATATTTAATATAAACCACTCGGTGTGTAGCTGAGTCTCCAGCTCTAGTTAGCCCATTGTCCATAATGTCGAGCGCGGAGCCCGTGCACGTGTAGGAGGAACAGGCGTCGCTAACGAGCCGCTGCCGACCACCCATAACGCAGAGGGCAGACGCTCGTGCACGTGTAAGGAGGAGCCGGAGACAGGGCCGTCTCTGGAGGCGTCCGAGCGTCAACATGACTGTTCGGAGGTTCGAAAAATCGTTTGGAGAGCAAACATGGATAAAACAGCTCGGAGAAACATTATGGCGATATACGGAGATTGAAGAATATTTAGAAGAATATTAAAACGTGACTTAGCTTTAAACAGAAAGTCAGGACGGCGACGTATGGCGTTATCTGGTCGGCGTTGACGGCGAGCACCTGGCGGGCGGTGAGTTGTTGGTGAAGACGACCTCGGAGGTGGTTCCGAGATCGGATCTGCTATCGCAGGGGCTGGTGTAACAAGCGATGAATCGTCGTCGTGGACCGACATAGATCTCAACGAGATTGATGACGAGAATGCGCTGTTGATTTGAGGTCCATCTGGCTCGCCATGGGATCAAGCGCACACCCCTACCTGGCGCGTCAACTGTCGATAAAAGATGATCGGCTGTCCACCGAGGGGTATCCCACGATGGTAGATTTGTCGTAGAGGTGAGCGAGATCAGGAGCGAGATGGTAATACAAGCACCAAGACACAAGGTTTAGACAGGTTCGGCCGTCAGTATGACGTAATACCTACATCATGTGTTCTGATGTATTGCATTGAGATGTATCGATCTGTCCACTAAGGGACCCCTGCCTCTCCTTGTATATTTTGGCGGGGTAGGGTTACCAGGAAAGTATCATATTTGGAACTATACGATAGCTTGCGGTGCACGCCAAGCAGCGCTGTGCACGCCTTGATCTTATGGGCTGGGCCACCTCTGATGGTGCGGCCCATGTCTTTTTGTGGATACCGGGAACGCTACCCCCACACTAGCTACACTGTTTTTGTCGGCGCCGAATCGGCACATCTAAACGAGGCCCCAATCCAATTTCCATGTGCGGATGTACCCAGCTTGCAGCAGATGCTATGCCGTTTTCTTTGCATTCTGGCGCTTTTCTCTAATCCACGTGCCAACACATCGCTGACGCCACTGCGATTTGCCACAGTTGAGTGCTAATTGAACCGGGTAGTTTATTATATCCGTCCGTCTGTCAGAACCTCAGATACCACGCACCAGGAGGCAAGCAGGCAGGGAGGCCACCTGGACGGGCACGCGCACCGTCTCCCTGTTCACTGTCCCCTCGAGCAGCTCGCCTGGGCTTGTATAATGCAACATCCTCGACACATCATCAATGTTAAGCATCTTCAGGGATTAATTAATCAAGTCCTGAAACGGGACTCACGGTGATGGGAACAGCGAGCCCTGCTGCTTTGTTTGTGCTGCTAGAGTGCTTGTAGCGGATAAAGGCCCTGTTTCGCTTCAACTTATCAACTAAACATTTTTATTAAAATAATAATATTTTTCTCTAACGACAAATCAGTATCAATATCAGCTATTTTTTTAGCCAGCCGAAAAGAGCCAAGGTCTGAGTGGAAGCACGGATCGGATTCCAGACAAACAAAATAAAAATAATGCAGTTGCATCACATGTCAGAAAATTGTTCCGCGTAGTGCTAACTTTGAGCTAATATATTTGGTAGTAATAATATCTAACTTTGGGCTAATATGTCTAGCTGCTCGTACTGCTAATAAGCGGCTATTAAACTGTCACGCTGCTGGCTGGACCCTTTCATGTCCCATGGCTAGTACAAGTGGCAGCTGCTGGCCTGTGTAAGCTGGACAAGTGTCTGAGCACACGAATAATTGACTTGACTTGGTTGCCTATAAAGATGCGGACGCTAAGCTCTCTCTCGGCACAAATACCAGCACCACCACTCTGCTCTTCAGTTCATCAGTTGTAGTTCTCCTGATCCCTTCAACTCTGTTAACACCCTCCAGATCCTGGGAGCTTCTAGTACAGCGAGTCCGTTATTGTGTAGCCTACTCGTTGGAAGCAGAGGAGCTTGATTGGGGAGCGAAGATGATCGAGGTGTTCATCCACGAGGAGTACGTGAACAAGCGCCGGGAGCAGAAGAAGCAACAGCAGCCGCAGCGGCGCCGGCGGCACATGAGGCCGCTGCAGATAGAGATCGACAAGCTGAAGCTGCCACCGGCAACCGCAGCAGCCCCGGGCCAGCAGAGGCCGAGGGATCAGAACCAGCACGCCGACGTGCCGCGGTCTCCCGTCGGGTCGCCGACGGCGGATGCGGCCACATTCCGGGACCATCTCTTCGACTGCCTCAAGCCGTATTAGCACCTACTCCCTCCCTGGCTCCTGCAGCTTAGCTTCTGTCCCTACAGCGGCGCATATGCTTGTGTGAATCATGTGCTCCACTTCCCGGTACCGGATAGATGTGGATGTATTCATTTAACCTCTTCGGCTAGTGGAAATGAAATGTACTGAGCTCTCGCTTCTTGTTTTGTTTGCATTGGAAGCTCTAGATTGTGTGGGAAATGGTTCTTTATTTTTTTTTCAGTTTTATTATTACATACAATACAGACGAGGCATCTAGCAGAGTGACACATGATGCATTCTCCTACCGAACTATATTCTCTCGTGCCTCCGATGTGACGAGAAGATTCGCATGTGCATTGTGCTGTGCGCTTCGGCTCAGTTCGTTGCAGACATATTCCCAAAATCTGGCCTCTTCTTCCACTGCGGATTTCCCACTGTTTTGTGTATAGATGAAGGAGAGAATGAAGAAAATATAGTAGGAAGAAAAAGAGAAATCGGAGGAAGAGGAAAAGCAAGAAGCAACATGGTGGAGGTGCCCCCCTCGGCATGGTCTATTCAACAATTGACAACATCCATACCGCACATTCTCTCATAGTAGCAAACATACCTATGCTTTGCAACGAGAAATAAAATGAAAGGTATATGGCCTTCTCTTTTTTTTTTATCTCGGGCAGCACGAAAGTTACGGAATCAAATTAAGCATAGTACACTTAGTGTCTAAATTCATAATAAAAGCAATGTACAGTAAAAATCCAAAACATCTTATATTTTAGAATGGGGGGAGTAATTGTAATATATGATTAAATTTAGTAAGAACTAAGAAGTTAGTTGCCGTTGAAAGGATCAAGATGCCCAAAAGGAGGCAAATTGGGCTAATTCTAAATTTCTTTGCAATAATTAAATCCTACGGTTAGCCCAATTAACTCCTTGTGTCTAAAAAGTGTTTCTATTTGCTCTACCGCACAAAAGACTTGCAATCTAAGTCCCAATCCTACTCTAGCATGACAATTCTATGAATTGTAAAGACAAGAATTGAATTGCTCAATGTAAATGCTCAAAGTAATTACTCAAAGTAAATACTCAAAGTAAATGCTCAAAGTAAATAGAGAAGGAGGAACGCGGCGGTGTTTTACCGAGATATCGGAGAGTCGTCACTCTCCACTAGTCCTCGTTGGAGCACCCACGCAAGGGTGTAGCTCCCCCTTGATCCGCGTGAGGATCAAGTGCTCTCTACGGGTTGATTCTTCGACACTCCGTCGCGGTGAATCACCCACAACCGCTCTCAACTTGAGTTGGGTCATTCACAAGCTTTCCGGATGATCACCAAGCTCTCCAATCACCACCAAGCCGTCTAGGTGATGGCGATCACCAAGAGTAACAAGCACGAACTCTCACTTAACCACAACAAGCCTAAGGAGAAAGATGGATGCACACTTGCTACTCTTGATCTCTCTAATGAGGGTTCTCTTTGGGATTCTCAAATCTCAATCACCTCACTAGGACCTTACTCTTCTTGGCACTCTATAAGGTGTGTTTCAATTTGTTGAATGAGCAAAAGTAGCTCTACACACGAGTGGAGCTTCTAGTTATAACAAGGGCTGAAAAACAAACCGTTATATGCCTCTCTCATGGGTGACCGGACGCCCGGTCATGTTGATCGGACGCTTGGTCGGGTTCAACCCAAGACACCAAGTGTTTGTTTAAGTGTTGACCGGACGCTGGCATGGTCCGATCACCACTGATCGGACGCGTCCGGTCACAAATATCCCTCACTGGAACCTTATTGTACTCGACCGGACGCTAAACCTCCAGGGTCCGGTCAGTACTGACCGGACGCGTCCGGTCAAAGAATTCTTTCTCTGGAACCTTACTGGAGTCGACCGGACGCTGGTCTTCATCGTCGTTCGATCACTGACCACTCGGGCGTCGTCGGGCGCGCGCCAGACGCAATCTCCTTGGTCAAATGAACTGACCGGACCCTGCGGCCAGCGTCCGGTCGCACCAGAGCCAGCGTCCGGTCAGTATTTGACCCTCCATTCACTTCCAACTCTCGATCATATGTGAATGAAGTTTGCTCCATATGATCTAAGGGCTTTGTTGGAGCTACCTAGTGCTTGACTTAGCAAGTGTGCACCAGACCTAACTCACTAGACTCACCTAGGTCAAGCTACCCGTCCATACCCCCCTTAATAGTACGGCCAAAGGAAAAACAAAGTCCTGAACTACTCTAAGTGTCTCTCCAACTCCAATCGACACTTAGAACTAGTCATCCTTAACCTTGTCGTCCATCCTTTGAAACCGAAATGATTTCCATCGTAGGGGCATGACATCCATGATTGCCCAATCGATCTCCATTACCATGACCTAACTTAATTGTCTCTGCAAAACACACGTTAGTTATAGTAATCTTGTATTGTCATTAATCACCGAAACCCAACAAGGGGCCTAGATGCTTTCAATCTTCCCCTTTTTGGTGATTGATGACAATACCACCTCGAGTATGTGAAAGAGTTGAGGTTTTTAACATGCTTGGATCATATAAACTTTTGTCAATAAGAACAAAGGTGTTAGTCAAGCTTATATGAACCAAGCCAACATGATGTACTCAAAAGATATGAAATAAACATGAGTACAAGTAATACACGGAAGCAAAGGCAAATGAGCATAACACAAGTGATATGACATATAAATAATTCAAAGTAGAGAGCACACATGTCATATATCACGGTCACGTAGATATCACTATCACATATATAAAGTTCAATGCATGAAAGTAAACACACGAATGCATAATAGTAATAGTGTATCACACAAATAAAACTCCAAATGTATGTAATAGACTAATAGCTAACTAGGCACCCCCTAAAAGTCGCTCCCCCTGAGTCTACATACTCGAACCCTCTCTCCCTTTGGCATCAAACACCAGAACCTAAAGGCCGATTCACGAGGTCGCAATGATTTAGTCGGGCGTCAAGTACGAGGAGCAAGTGGAATCAAGCGGATCATCATCTCGACCTCAGAGCTCAGTCTTTGGCCGACCCTCCTGCTTTTCGGAGCGTCGCCAAGCGGTCTGGGTCTGAGCTGGGGTAGGTGCTGCCTATGATACTGCTGGTATGTCTGTCGTAGGATCTGAAGATGCAACAGAAGAAGGGAGCCTCTGAGTAGTCACGGCGACGGGAGCTGCTATAGAAGGACCTGGGGCATGCATATGTGGCGGTGTAGGCATCCCTGTCAACTCACTAAAAGATGCTCCAAGACTCCTGGAGACTGACGTGTCAGGCACAAATAGCGAGGGTGACTGATCTGGTGTGAAGCCCGTCTGAAATGGTGTGAACTGTGGGGCTATCACTGGCAAGGATAACCACTGGGACCCATGTACTGTGGGAGAAGCAAACTGAGCTGGAGGCTGTCCCTGACTCTGAAGTCCACTAGGCTTTACTGCTAGAGTCGTCATAGTGGTAGTAGGCTGACCAATCTGGGCGTAAGGTCTGTGGGTCGTGGGGCCCCAATGGTCATCACTACATGTCGCATGAATCCCAAAAGTCGTTGTTTGTATGAGTAACTCACTCTTTGATGCATCTGCCGCTGCCGCCGCTTTGTTGAGGACCTGCTCTTTGTCGCTAGAACTTATCTCGATGAGCCTAAAATCGTAAAGTTGGCGCGGTCTCCCGAGCCTATCTAGCTCGATCTCTGCTGCATCCGCTCAAGGATAGTAATCAAAGGGGTCCGCTCTGCGGTGCAGGTGGAGCGGCTAGAATCGCCGGCCTCTACATCATGTCTGCGTGGTGGAGGCATCGAGGAATAGGCTGGTTGTCATCGTCTCGAGCTGTCACTAGGCTCGCTCACCTCTCGCCGTGCCTCAAGTCGCTCCCTCCTCAAGAGCGGCTATGCCTCGATAATCTCGCCCTGTTGAGCTACGGACTCTGGTACATCTGGACGACAGCGAGACTGAGTGGGTTCCTGTGGTGTGCTATGCCTAATCCTTTGTGCCATGTTATAAGCTAGAAACTCTATGGTGGCACCTCTGTACTCTGCAACCATCTCTGGTGTCCTAACTTGCACAGCCTTGAGAATAAGGAATGTGATCCAATGTGCATATGGAAGCTGCCTGCGACCCTTGAAGCCCTCAGCTATAGTATCCTCCATCTCTGATAGAAGGAGGTCCCAAATATCAAAACACTGCTCTCACGATCGTAGGCGTTGAGGAGCCAAAGCTGTAGGCGAGTCAAGCCCTCTCTGTATCCCATCCTAGGAAGTAGTGTCCTCATTATGATAGCCTCTAGCACTCTAGCCGTAGGAGTAAGGTCACTGGGGTTTCTCCTCGACCCCTCACCAAAGGGCTCCTTGAAGCAATGGCGCACAAGATCTATAGGAGGCACCATACCACCATGAGGACGCCTAGGAGGCTCTTGCTGTCCATAACATACCTCATGTAACTTGACAGGCTGCTCCTGTAGCCTCAGTATCTCCCTGGCCCTCTGACTCATCATCCTGTAGTCTCTACCTCTGAATGCAAAGTGTATAAAGTTATGATGCGGGTCAATGTAGAGCGAAGCATAGAATTGCCGAACCCAAGATAGTACATACAATCCAGTCCGACCAATCAGATCTGTCAACCCCGGCAGATATGCAAGGTAGGGGCGAATGTGCTCTCCAGCTGTTGCGACTATAGCCTATATGTTGTAGACTCTCTGAGATCTAAAGACTGCTCCGCTGTTCAGATAGGCATTATAGAAATCCTCCTGCAGTGGCGTGTAGAAACCCTCTGCTGCTTTCTCATCCCTCCTGGGTGGAAACCACACATCAAACTCCACGAAGCGAAGCTGCTGAACCTGCTTGGCTGTGGCGGCCCTCAAGTCAAGGTGGGTCACTAGAGGCGGACCCTGTGGTCTAGGCGGTGGACGAGATCCCCTCCGCTGTGTCGGTGGCCTCGGTTAATCTGGAACACGGGTACGACCAGAGCGGCGTAGCTAGGGCTGTGGTGCCTACTCTGTCTCCTCGGCCTCCTCGGCCTGCTC